ATATCATTTAGGTCGTTTTAAAAAAGAGAAGAGGAGAGACGAAATACTTTACAGAAATTTTACTTTAAGCTTTGTTTTTAGGTTTTAGGGAGAGAGAGATCTATCTCTTGAACCCTTGTTCTTTCTTTTTCAATTTCGGTTTCTGTACTACTTTTTAATACTATGTTTTCGATTTCGTTTATCATGTCTGAGTAGTTTTATTGTTGGGTCTAAGGGATTTTCGATGGGGATATATATGTTCGGTGAGGATTCCATGAGCTATTGAGCCGAATCTTAGAACTTTTTCTTTTGAATTTTTTTTTTACTGCATGAGAGTAGTGTTATGAACTATAATCTGATCCAGATGCTTGTGACACGAAAGTGTTCATCTGTTGTCAGATCTAGTTTGGGAGAGCAAAATAAACATAGGAGTGGAAACCTACCTATGGGCGATTTGTGAATGCCGACGAGTCTTAAACATAATGCATCTCTTCTTTTCCAGGGCCAGAGTGGCAACCTACTGGTCAGGGTTAAGAGAGATAGTTATCTATGATCACGACAGTGGCGTATTCATACGTCCGTGACTCCAGTTTGAAAAGTTTAAGCTAAGATCCTATCAAATTTACTCTCTAGCAATGTTTTGAATTGTTCATACCCCTGAGAAAACTTCCCTGAACCCCAGCGCTTTCTTTTCTATAGATTCACACCGATTTTCATTCAAGATTTAGTCTAGTTTCTTTACTCTTTCAATCGATTTTCACTTAGCAATTAGGTTTAGCCGTTTTTCTCGTTTTTACCCGTTTTCGTTAAGTTTAGTTATTAGGTCATTTTAATTCCCCGTATTTTCTCTTTATGATTCGTTTTTACGTTTTAAACACACCACCAAAACCCTCACAAAACTCGCCTGGTTCTAAACTTCCTTACTTTATATTTCTTTCGAAGGCTTTTGCAGGAAAGATCCTCCTTCCCTGTGGATTCGATCCCTAAGTACTACAATCGATCAGCTGTGCACTTGCGGCTATTGATTTCATTTAGGGTAAAACTTGACACCCTCGACACGACCACATCAAGTCACGCATCAGTGGTCGACAGCAATCACGGTCGCCGGAACTTTTCTAGTAGAGCTTCGCTGTTCTTTTCTATCCTGAAAACTAAATCCTAAAGCTTCTATTTATAGGGGAAAGATGGAGATTCTAAAAAGATTCCCGGGCAGTTGTGTTGTGCTTGCAGAAAATATTCCCGAGCAGCTGCGTCGTGCTTGCGTGTGAAGGCGTAAGCAGGTGAAGCAGAACACGGAGCTGCACATGGAGAGCGTTTCCTGGTGCGTTCAGAGCGTTTCCCGGCATGTGGAAAGTGTTTCCCGGCGTGTGCATGGCGTGTGCCTGGCGTGTGTCTAAGCTACTCAAGCAGGCAAGCACGCTGCTGAATCAAACTGCTGACTCAAGCTTCTGAGTCATCAAACAGCTTCTCTTGACCAACCCATTTTCGACCTTCTGATCAAATCGAAATGACCCACTAATCCACCCGAGCGACTAAATACTTGACTTCCTTAGACAAAAACTTAACTTTGATAGCTAAAACTTAAAGCTCTTGACCATTAACCTTAGTTTCTTCCTTGCTTTTCTAAGCTTTTCCATTGACCGCGTCCCGATCTCTTGAACGGATTATTACACTGAGGACCTGACCCATGCACCCAAGAAGACCGGTCCAGTATCCGGTTTGTTTCGGGCTGACCCGCATCACTTAGCTTTACTATATATAGTGTTTAGGACAAAAACCCTACTTATCTTATCTTATCTTTGAAAACTTGCCTCTGTAGCGAAAACTGGCTTTTTTAATCAGATATCTTGTTTTTACGTAAAGGATCTTGTTCTCTTTTATTTCTTTTCATCATCATCAAAGCTTCTAATCATGTCTAGCATCAAATCTTACTAAGGATTAAGTGTGCTGATTACACCTGATTTTGACCATTTTTCACCATTGATTTCAAATGCTTTTTCAAAGGTTTTACTTTTTTTTAGGAACTTTTATTATGATTTCCATGTATTTGTAGTTTCAAGACTCTTTTCAGGAAACTTAGGGAATATGATGGCAAAATGGAAGAAATCTACATTTTTAGCTCAAAGTCAGACCGTCAGAAGTTCAGCCTCAAATAAAGACTTTCTCAGCGTCCGATCCAGCTCAAATTTGGGGAAAATCAAGAAGAGACAACCAGCTTTCTATTGCACTTTACACCACAAAGATCCAACGGTGCAATCAAAAGATACATGGAGAACAAGTTGACCCAGTTCACCAGTCCCGGAAGACTCTCACCCGCGAGAAACACATGTTTTACCTGCCCTGGAAGACTCTCACCCCTGGTGGACCTTAGAACGAGCCACAAGGCCCAACATCAAATCCCACTTCGCCATTTTTCTTCAGAGAAGCCCTAAATGAGACCTGGAAGACCTTAGGACCTATAAATACATTGTAGCAGCCCTAAACGGGTGTGTGCTCCTGTAATGAGATTTTGAGCCACCAAACTCTGTTTTTCTAGGGTTAGGCGATGGAGATGGGGTTTCTTTCCCAGATCCATTTTTATTTCTCCTTTCTATTTCATTAACTTTTCTATTTCATTCTTTTGCATTCTTATATGTCTTTTATCATTCATTGCATCATGTAGATTAGTCCCAGAGAGTCAAGTTGTTTGAAAATATCGACAAGCATATATATCGATTAGGATTTCTATTGTTCTTAGCCATATTTTGAATCTCATCTCTTCTAAGTTATTCATAAAGCATGAGAGTAGATTCATGACCTATTCTCTGAGCCTAGGATCGATCAGAGCTACGAGAGTGCTGTATCAGATCACCCATACCTAGCTTCAGAAGAACATAGTCACTATAGGAGTCGAGAGCTACCTATAGAGAAGATGTGAGCAGACGAATTCAATGTCCAATGCATGATCTTAAGTTTAGCATGAGAGCGAGAGTTAATTGCTAGATCTAAGAGATTAGTTGATTAAGGTGACGAAAATTGGTTAATCATATATGTGTCTATTCTAGATCAATGCAGATTCCCAGAAACAGATGAAGATAAATCACCCGGAAGCTAATTGGAAATGCCATCATACATCGATTAGAGTAAACCGGAGAAGTCTAAATCGCCACCTATGAGTTCAAGAGTCTTTAGTTTGAATTGATATGCTTTAGATGTTCTTTTAACAATTCATCCTGCATTGCATTTCTTGTGAATACTAAATTAGGTTTAGTTTAGAATTTTAACCAAAAACCCCAAATCTTTTATTGGTTTATGAGTTTGCTTACTTCCCAGTTTGTTGTTTTTTGCAGATTAGACATCCCTTCTGTGGATCGACACCCTAAGTCCTACAACGTACATCTGTGCACTTGCAGACACTAGGGTTTTATAAATTTAAAACTTTTGGAGGACCAATGGGCTTGTTAAAAAAAACAACCCTAGGCCCGCAAGCCCATCATGTGCTCTTCATGATTAGTGAGTAGTTTCATTATGAGGTTTTAGAAAGGTAGATTAAGGTGCTGAAATGCTAGATAGCGAGTTTGGGTTCTAGATCTGCATCATTCATTCTCTACTAAACCGATCTCTATGCTGGATCCATGAACATCACATGTGGTCTAGATCTGAGGTGCTTTCACGCCTGAGAAGTGTTCTCTGAAATACCTGAACCAGGTTTAGTAGAGGTTTTAAGAGTCTTTCATAATGATAATGATAGTTTGCTTCTCTTAAATGACATATTGAACTGATTCTTAATGCTTGCTGATTCATGCTTCTCAAAAGGGATTTTGGTATGAAAGAGGATTAGCATAGAAGTTTAATACCTTCATGAGAGGATTATCTTGATATTGAGTTCATGTTAAATGAAGTTGCTTGACCATTTGGTTCATTAACTCGCTAGTTTAGTATGGAAGCACCCGAGTCCTTTATCCTGTCTAAAACCTCTAATATCATCATTCATACATCAACCGATTATCTATCTTGTTTATTTTCTTGTTTATTTGCATTTTGCTTAGTTTAAATCTCCTTTCTGTTCTTTCTTGCACTTAAAATAGTTTAGACACTAAAACCATCTTTTTGATTGTGCTTGACTTAAGATACAAAGCATCTTAAAATAGTGTCTAACCACAAGCATTGATTGATACCTCTTCATTACTACAATGAAAGGGGATTGATATCCCTTGCACAAGACCTAAAAAGTCCTAGTTATCAATTGGCGACGTTGCCAACTTGTGGATATCATTAGTTTTTGCTTGTTCTTGAGATCAAGCCTTTATTTTTCTTGTTTTTACTGATCGTTTTCAAGCTCTGTCTTTGAGTGATCAGGTACATGCAAACTCGCTCCAGAAGTTCAGAGCCACCTCAGCCTTACAACAACAACATTAATCTGCTTGAGAGAAGAGCTAGAGAGAGGGCTTTGCATCAGGAACGGTTAGGTATGGCTGATCAGGAGAGGATTGAGAAACAGGCTCAAGAAGCCGAGCACCAGGCTCATCTCAACCAAGTGCAGGCCGAGAGAAACGAGCAACAGGCCTATGTAAATCAGAACATGTCTCAGCGTAATGAAAGGCAAGCTCAGCAAAGCCAGCAGCAAGCCAACAGTAATGAGCAACAGGCACAGCAAGTTCCTCAGCCTCAGCCGCAAGCTCAAAGGTAGCCTCCACCAGTTTTTGTTGGTGAGAACGATCGCGCTAATGCACATCAGTATCGAGCAGGGATCCAAAAATTTTGAAGTTAAAACCTCCCTGCTTAACACGGTGCAAAACTCAAAGTTTCATGGCTTACCAATGGAGGATCCTTTAGAGCACCTAGATCAGTTTGAACGTGTCTGTGATATCACCAAGATCAACGGGGTATCAGAGGACAGCTTCAAACTCTGATTGTTTCCCTTCAGCTTAGGTTATAAAGCACATCAATGGGAGAAGAATCTTCCAAGGGGAACAATACAGACCTGGGAGCAGTGCAAGCTTGCATTTCTCTCAAAGTTTTTCTCCACTTCCAGGACAGCTAAGCTCAGAAATCAAATCTCAAGCTTCACACAACACACCAACGAAAGTTTTGGAGAGGCTTGGGAACGATTTAGAAGCTATACTAATCAGTGTCCCCACCACGGCTTCTCAGAGGCGTCCCTTCTCAGTACTCTATACCAAGGTGCCCTCCCCAAAATAAGGAACCAACTTGATACAGCATCTAATGAGAATTTTCTTGGGAAAGAGATCAACGCAGCAATGGAGCTAGTGGAGAATCTTGCGATGTCAAACGATACTTACGGTGAAGATTTTGACAGGGCTAGTCGAACCGAAGGGTCTAGTAAAGAATTGAGGATGGAAAAAGATATCAGGGAGCTCCAAAACAAGCTAGACAAAGTGCTTGTGGCAACACAAAAACCAATTCAATTTGTAGGCGAGTTTGATGAGCAAAGGCCGAGTTTTGACAATGTGAATGAGGATGGTCTCACACAAGAAGAGATCAACTATATTGGGAACCAACAACGGTATCAGCGGTTCAACAACTATGAACCAATCAGAACCTCTCATACCGCAACCCCAATGTAGCAAATCCCCAAGATCAATTGTACCCTGCTCAACAAAACCAACAAAGCTATGCTCCTAAGCCTCAGTTTCAGAATTCTTTTCAGCCCAAGCAGCAGTTTGGTGGGCAACAACAGAGCTATGGACAGCATCAGCTACCGGCTCAGGGAAGTAACTACAATAGCCAGCCTCAGCAACCGAAGTTTCCACCAGGGTTCAGTCAACAGCCGATGGGTTAGCAGCATCAGCAGCAGGCGCCGGTTCAGAGTCAGATGGGACCAGATATGTGTGGGTTTCTACAGCAGTTGCTACAGGGTCAACAAAGAGTGGAGAGTCAGTATGCGTCCATGCAGCAAGATATTCGTGAGCTTAAGCAGAATCAAGCTTCCACATCAACGAGACAAGGCGTTTTACCTGGAAAGCCGGAACCAAATCCCAAAGAATATGTCAATGCCATAACTTTGAGGAGTGGCAAAGAACTACAAAGGCCCGAGCCTAAGCAAAAGCTCATTGAGGACAATGAGCAGATCGGTGGGGAGGCAGCCTCAAAGGATGAGCAAGAGGATGCGGTTTCAAAGGAAGAAACGGTTAAAGACAAGGCTAAAGAGGTGGAAAAGGCACCTGAGCTTGAAAAGCCTTATGTTCCACCACCTCCTTATCATCCTAAGATATCTTTTCCAGGGCAATTCAAGAAACAGATTTTAGACAGGGCAAAAGCAGTGTTTGAAAATCACTTAGAGAATACTCAGATGACTTTGCCGATCATAGATGCTTTTCTAGCTATACCACAGCTTGGAAAGTTTCTAAAGGACGCAATTCTTAACAAGACCAAGGAGCTTCAAGGGATGGTTATCTTGAGTCATGAGTGTAGTGCCATTTTTCAGAGGAGAACAGTGCCAAAAAGTTATCAGACCCTGATAGCTTTACTTTACCATGTGTGATCGGTCCATTGAAGTTTTCAAGCTGCCTGTGTGACTTGGGAGCTTCTGTGAGCTTAATGCCTTATTCAGTTGCTAAAAGGCTTGGGTTTAAGAGCTACAAACCAGCAAGAATCTCTCTTGTTCTTGCGGATCGATCAGTGAGGCTACCAATCGGTCTACTTGAAGATCTGCCCTTGAGGATTGGAGAGATACAGATCCCCACAGACTTTATAGTCTTAGAAATGGATGAAGAGTCGATTGATCCCATCATCTTAGGGAGACCCTTTTTGGCAACAGCAGAAGCGATCATCGATGTCAGAGGAGGCGTGATCGAGCTGCACATTGGGTCTGAGGCCATGGAGTTTGATGTGAAGGAAATGATGAAGAAACCGACCATTGGAGGTCAGGTCTTTTACATCGAAACCATGGAGGAGCTTGCTGATGAGCTCCTTGAGGAATTAAATGCAGAGGACCCTCTCCAAGTGGTCTTGACAAGGGATCAAAGCGAGCACGTGTATTTGAATGAAGAGAGCGAGGTTTACAAGCGGTTCTTGGATCAGCCGAGGGAACTTGAAGCTGAGACAAGATTCTTGGAGCTTGAACAGAGCGGTCTTGAGGTTTTGGACATCAGAGGGTCCAATACAAGAGGGGAGACACCTCGGGGTTGCATGGCCACAGCATCACAAGCTGAGGGCAGTGGAAGACTGCGAGAGCAAACCAATGCCGAGGGATCTGCCGATCAATAATGCAGCGTTGATGCGGATCGGGATGAGACAAAGGCACCCCCTGTTGAGCTCAAGCCTCTACCAGCAGGTCTCAGGTATGCGTTCCTTGGCTCAAACTCTTCATATCACGTAATCATAAACGATAACCTGTTAGCTCATGAAGAACTTGCATTGTTAAGTGAGCTTAGAAAGTTCAGGAGAGCTATAGGTTATTCTTTGGCCGATTTTAGAGGTATCTCTCCTGACATTTGCACCCACAGGATCCACCTAGAAGACCAATCTATGTCTTATATTGAGCATCAACGACGTCTTAACCCGAACCTTAAGGATGTGGTTAAGAAAGAGATACTCAAGCTTCTTGAGGCAGGGATCATATACCCAATCTCTGACTCAAGATGGGTATCTCCTGTCCATGTGGTGCCCAAGAAAGGTGGTGTTACGGTGGTAAAGAATGAGAGGGATGAGCTAATAGCTACAAAAACCATAACCGGTCATCGCATGTGTATTGATTACAAAAAGCTTAATTCAGCATCTAGAAAGGATCATTTCCCATTGCCATTCATAGATCAGATGCTTGAGAGACTAGCTAACCATCCCTACTTCTGTTTTCTTGATGGGTACTCGGTTTCTTTCAAATACCAATAGATCCCCGAGACCAAGAGAGAACTACATTCACATGCCCCTACGGCACATATGCTTATAGACGCATGCCCTTCGGTTTGTGTAATGTTCCTGCGACCTTCCAAAGGTGCATGATGCACATTTTTTCTGACATTATTGAAGAGAAGGTAGAGGTCTTTATGGACGATTTATCTGTCTATGGTTCCTCCTTCTCGGATTGTCTTGCTAATCTGTCACAGGTCTTGAAAAGGTGTGAGGAGCATAGGCTGGTCTTGAACTGGGAAAAGTGCCATTTCATGGTACAGGAGGGCATTGTACTTGGTCATAAGGTGTCTGAGGCTGGTATAGAGGTCGACAAGGCTAAAGTCGAGGTCATAGTGAATTTGGAGCCCCCAAGCTCGGTTAAAGGGATAAGGAGCTTTTGGGACATGCCGGCTTCTATAGAAGGTTTATTAAGGACTTTTCTAAGATAGCCCGGCCACTAACAAGGCTGATTTGCAAGGAGGTTGAGTTCTTGTTCGATGAGGAGTGCATGGAGGCATTTCTAAAGATCAAAGATGCCCTTGTTAGTGCACCAATAGTTCAGTCACCCGATTGGACCTTGTCATTTGAGGTGATGACAGATGCATCTGATTATGCCGTGGGAGCAGTTTTAGGCCAAAAGAAAGAAAAGAAGCTGCACGTGATCTACTACGCAAGCCGCACCTTAGACTCGGCTCAAGAGAAATATGCAACAATTGAAAAGGAGATGCTAGCCATTGTGTTTGCATTTGATAAGTTCAGGAGTTACCTTGTGGGTTCAAAGGTTGTTGTGTACACAGATCATGCGGCTTTGAGGTATCTAATGATTAAAAAGGATGCTAAGCCGAGGCTTCTAAGGTGGGTTCTTCTGTTACAAGAATTTGACATGGAGGTGCAAGACAAGAAATGAATTGAGAATGGAGCTGCCGACCATCTCTCACGGTTAAGAGTGGACTCAGATGTTCCTCTAGATGATTCTTTGCCTGAGCAGTATCTAATGGTGATCAGGTCTTACTTGGAGGTTGAAGAAGCTAATATAATCAGAGAGAAAAGTCTTTTATGGTTTGCTGATCTTGTTTACTACCTCTCATGCGGTTTAGAGCCACCTGAAATGGATTCTTACCAAAGGAAAAAATTCTTTAAAGATGTGAGAAGATATCATTGGGATGAGCCATATCTATATGTGCTCAACAAAGACCATCTTTATAGAAGGTGCTTAGCTGAAGAGGAGGTCCAACATGTGTTACAAGAGTGCCACGGTTCTGCTTATGGTAGACACTTGGGAGCTTTTAAAACGGTTGCTAAAGTGTTACAATGCGGTTTTTTGTGGCCAACAATGTTTAAAGATGCCCAAGTTGTTGTCTCAAGCTATGAATCGTGTCAAAGGCATGGTAATATCTCCAAAAGAAATGAGATGCCTCAGAATCCGATCTTCGAAGTGGAGGTCTTCGACTGTTGGGGAATACACTTCATGCGGCCGTTTATCTCTTCACATGGCAATCAATACATTTTGGTGGACGTAGAGTATGTATCTAAATGGGTTGAAGCGATTGCAAGTCCCACAAACGGCTCAAAGGTGGTGTGTAAGCTGTTCAAAAGCATCATTTCCCGCGGATCTCAAAATGTAGATCC